CCTGTAGAAAAGCGCTGGATTGAGAATCCAGGAGCCTGGGGTTTCAGCCCAGCCCTGTGTGATTTTGTTTCCCTTACTGAAAATATGAGAATCATGATGGCCACCTTGCCTTCTTCACAAGAGTATTGTAGAATCAAGTGAAATAATACCTGTGAAAGCTCTATCCAGATGGAAGAGAGTAAGCCCTACTCATCAGAGAAGTGGCAAAACACCCATGGTTTGGCCAAAGGCCTCTGAAACCAGTCAGTTGCTAGGGCAAGTATCAGACATCCACTCATGTCACCACCAAGAGGAGTGGGAGCATCATAAAGGTATTCATGTCCTGGGACTGGAACCAGAAATGTTCGGACACCAAGAAAGTGACTCTTTATCTTACTCCTCAAGGGAAAGATGAGAACATCTCACCTCTGCTCTTGTGTATTAGGGATGATTAAAGCCTCTGAGTTTTAGCTTTCTATGTCTGAAATTGGGGTAATGAGGAGAAAGGATGAAGAGTAAAATGAAGAGTTAGCATGGTGTCCCATGTGCAGTGTCCCTGCTTCTCCTGGGGTGCCACTCTGCTCTTCTTGCTCTGCTAATGATTTGCTTATTAATCTCAACTGGAGCATGACCAGGAAGGGCTGCCTCAGCCCCAAATCCACCCCAGGACTTTTCAGCTGAGCCCCCATGGACAACCAACACTGCATCAGTTTGAAATTCTGAAAAACAGCCTTGGACTGGCCCAGATGAGCCTTTTAAGCAAGGCCACATAAGCCATAGGTGGTTGGCCAGCCTGTGAAGGGACAGCTCTTCAACTGCAGCCAGGAAGAGGTCACACAGCACAGAGAGAACCTGGCCACTTAAGATGGGGCAGACTCTTGTAGGAGCCAGTGCAGGGAGCAGGCCACAGTTGGCTTCTCTGGGGCCCATGTTAGTGCCTACTAACATAGGTTCTTTACCTGTCACACAAGAGGGGCCAAACAAAAACTGGAATGCCAGGCTTATGGCAAGGAAAGGGTTTTTGTTTCGGGTGATATCAGATGGGAGACAAGAACGAGCCTTCAAATTTGTCTCGTTTCATCTTGTCTCCCTGAAAGAGGGTAGGCGAGGGGTTCTAAAAGGGGTTTGTGAGGAATGTGGCTGCTTGTAGAGAGGTGGCAGGAATCAGCAGCCTGGCTAGTCGGAGCTTTCCCACCAGCCTGCGTTTGCACGGAGGAGGAGGAGATGGTAAGGAATCTAGGTGGCTGTCCTTGGCGGTTTGTCTTCATGGCAAATAGTGGATTCTAGAGCCAGGGAGCCAGGGAGTAAGCAGGGAAGGAGTGCTCTGGTTTTAACCCCCTAAATGCTGGGTTTAGTGTAGGGGAACTGCCATCAGGGCCAGCATCACCCATATACTCAGAAATAAAATTCTGAAAGACCTTGTGGCTGGCACATGAGACCACCCTGCAGGTCGTACAAAAAGTGAAAATGTTAGTGGGACAATGGTTGGGGACATCTGAGCTGTAAGTGAAAGTAATATCTCAGTCTCAGAGTTAAGGCTCTTCCATAAATAGGGACCAAATGGTTATCCTCTGTTGAAACTTAAAGCATTCATCCATTTCTCTCCCTACCTTTGAGTCTCACTATCCTAATCAGGCAAAGGGAAGGAAAGATGTTTTCCTTGTGGAATGTTTATGAAGAGTTCAGCAGCATCTGTATGTATTAGACTGAATCATATGAAATTGCCAGGTTCTTGGGTCCAAAGTGGACCAATGTTGGCTATTTCAACCTAATAGGAGGCTTTCAATAAATACTTTCCTTGGGCCCCTCACTCCGCCATGACCTTCTCCACCAGAAAATGTTGAAACCTCAACATACTGCCTTCAGGTCATTTACAGAGCAACACAAGTGTGTCATATACAAAACACCTCTCTCTGGTATGCAGATGGAGCAGGCTTTAGCTCAGACAGCACCTTGTAAACCCCCTGTCCTCTGCCCTCTAGATGTGGGGGCTGCTGTGTATGGTGCCAGACCCAGACTTGGCAGCACAACAAAAGCTCTGTGTTCTCTGGTTGGAAAATTCCAGAAATGAGTTTCTCTTCAATCCAGTTTCTTTTTCCTTTTCCCTGGAAATTAGAGTAATTGCAAATGTAAATACAAAAAAAGTGAAAAATTGATGGTTGATTGATAGGGAAGAACAATGCATCCAGCTCATTATCTTCCCTTGGAGCCACACATGGCCAGCTCAGCAGCTCTTCTGGTGGAGGAGGTGGGGCATGGAGGAATGGTGGGAGGTAGCTGAGGCAGCACCTGAGGATGCTGACCTGCGGGTCAAGTCAGCCACTAACACCAGGGGACTCAGGACTAGTCCCTTTCCCTCTCTGGGGCTCAGATTTCTCATCTGCAAGATGAACTATCAGTTAAGCGTATTCTCACTCCTGTTCAGCATCAATGGTCTCTGAGACAGAGGTGCACATAGGCAGGTAACCTGGAGTGAGGGGGGAACTCAGGGTGAGCCCTGTGCCAACTGTGACTGTGAATGAGTGGTCCCTGCCTATTGACTCCCATGGCCTTGCCCCCTTTTCACTCTGCTTCCTTCCCAGACCCCTCTCTCCCGTCAGGCACTATTGGGCTGTGCCCTATTCCCACATCCCCTCTTATTCCTCACTACCCCCAGGCACCACCCTCTGACCTCTCTTCTCCTTCCTCTCACCCATCACAGTCTTGGAACCTTGAAGTCACTACTCCATAGATGGATCAGAAGCGCCTGACTTGCTAATTGCTGATTAGTTAGCTAACATCACAACATCATATAACCATTCTGGGGCCTCAGTTTTCCCATCTGACATTCTGTCCTCTGTGCCTTCGCTTTAACATACACAATACCTCCACCAGGCAGGCATGTGACATTTGGGGAGAGAGGTAGGAGAGCAAGGCTGGGGTGGGCCTCAAGCAGTGGTCTCCATGCTGCACTTCCTTTGGGACCACGTGGTCCTCCTTAGCTGGAGACTGGCTCATATGGCTCCCCAGCACAGTGCCGGCCCCCATGCAGCTTTTAAAAGCATCTCTGCCTTTCCTCTTTACCTACATTTCCACAATTAATAACAGTAATAAGTCTATGACACTCATGATTGTTTACCAAGGGCTTTCACATACGGTATCTCTTTTGTGCTTCTCCACAATCCTTATTGTCCCTAGGTTAGCAGTGGAGGAGGTGAGGGCACAGCATAGACATGAAGTGGGTGGCCAATGGTTAGAACAACTGGAACCGGAACCCAGATCACTGACTGCTAGCCCAGTGGTCTCTCCATAATACTGCACCACCTTGCTCTAAGATGGTGGTCATCTCCAATTCTGACACTGAAGGAAGCTGGAAGAAGAGATGGTGGCTGCCAAGGTTAGGAGTGATGATAGAGCTGGCTTCACTGTGGCCAGGGCTGAGGAGGTTCTGAATACCCAGGGCTGCAGAGATCCCAACAGGAGAGTTCTTGGCTTTTAAAGCCAACATCTGCTCTTCACATGGGTCAGCCCCAATTGAGTGTCAGTCTTCTCTTCGTCTTCCAACTTGAGCCGTCTACTTAAGGAATAAGTGTTTGACTCCCCCACTGTATCCCCAGCCTCTCATTGAGGTAATTGAATTGCACCTGGCCCACACTGGCCTCTCCAGCCTAACTCCACTTCAACACTTTTCAGCTACAATTGTCGCCATAAATCATCAAGTCTTTCCACGTGTTTGGTGAGATTTCTCAAGCTGAGACTCTGATTGTTCTAGCCTCTTTCTTCGAGCTGGACCACACAAGTGATAGGTTATGGTCAGCTTAGGAACTTATTGCCCCTGGCTCAATCAGATGTGGCTGGAACTGGTGTCGTGTGGTAGTGAGATGGCCTTTCAGGATGCAGTGAAAGCAGCAGGACTGACACATCCCCTGCAGGCATGTTATTTGTGCCCTGGCCTTTGCCTGGGACACCTTCTTTTCTGTCCTTGTCAGGTGGTCCCTACTGATCTGCCATAGCCCACCCCAAGTGATACCTCCTCTGCGAAGCCATCAGGGAGAGCGAGTCAGTCCTCCTTCTAAACTTGGATACATCTCTCCTCAGTTTTTACATGTCTTGACCCCCACAACAATATAAGATCCCAAAAGAATGAAAGTACTTTTCACCTATCTTTAATAATTCTATATGTTAATTCAAAAAAAGCCATGATGTAACAGTATTTTCCAACAATATTGAGGTGAAAACTTGCCCCATGTTCAAATATGTGTAATGAACACTGAGTTTTAAAATGATGCCCAAATTTCTCTAGTCCAGGACTTCTCAGAGCCTTTAATTTGCTGATGTGCAATGTAAATATCCAAGAGGAAAACAGAATATGTAGCCTTCCTGTACTTATTGCCAAGAAATTATCTTTTTATGAAGCAGCAAAAACAGCCCCCAGAGCCAATGTTTTCCACAGAAAACAGTTTGAGAGACACCAACGTAGCAGAAGTTAGAGATAGTAGCTTAGACTCAGGTAGAGATAAATCATAGTTCTGTAACATTGGACAAGTCACTTAACTTCTCTGGGCCTGGGTTTTTCATCTATTCAACAAAGATAATAATACCTAGTCAAAAGGTTGGTGGAAGGATGAAATGACATATAGAGTATGCAAAGTGACTGGCACAGTGACTGACATTGAGTGGGTGCTCCATACACGGTCACTGTTGGTTTCTGGGTATTCCTCCGCTGCTGAGTTTACTCTAGAGTAGGTATTCAGGAAGTGCCCATTCAGAAGCATAGCACCATGGAGAAGTCTGGAAGCCTCCTTGTAGCCAACAGAAACCCAGCAAGGCCAGAGCCAGTGGCAGCCCACCCCTGTGCAACCAGCTGACTCAGATACTCAGCTCAGTGCATGGGTCTTCCCAGGATCTCGCCCTCTGCCCATCCCCTTACCAGAACCAGAAATCATCAATAGATGACCAACTTCTTTCTGGCCACAACAAATGTCTACTGGCCCCAGGCCACTCTCATTCAGCACACTGAATAAAATATTAAAGTCACTTACATTTGCACGGTTCCTTTAAGTTCACAAAGAGCTTTCCTTTATGTCTTCTGTCTCATTATCTCAACCAAGTCAGATAGACCTCACATAGAATGCCCTGGAATTGTGCAACAGGACAGTTCTGATCCCAGCAACCCTGTAAGATAGACAGGACAGGGATTATTTATGCCCATTTTACAGATATGAAAAGCAAAACTTGGAAAGAGTAAGCCAGTTGCCCAAGCCTTTGCCCTAAGATCAACAGTCCATCAGCCTTTCCTGCTGGACGTGCTCTTACTGATTCTCAATCCTCCTCCCAGGCTCTGGGGCCTGCCAGCCTCCACCTTGAGTGTGTGATGCTCCTGTCTCATTGATTCCTCCCTTGCTTGGACCAAACTGTCTGACCAGTTTCCTCCTGACCAGCCCAGTCTATAGCCCTGGTGACAGGGACCTTATAGGCCCTGGTTCTCTTTATCCAGCTTGGAGCCTCACTATATACCCCAGGCTGCTCTCCGCTGGGCATGGCATATCCTCAGATGTTGAACGTATAAACCATGTCTCCACTCCTCTCCCTGCTCACATGTTCCCTCTCCATGAGCTGGCACCTGGACAACCTCTACACGTGCTTCATGCTACCTGCAAGGTGCCCCTCAAGAGCTGGAAATAGTTAAAGAAGAGACCACCAGCCAGGGGACAGGCTGCCACCAATTTTTGCCTTGAAGGACTGAAAGCAGCCCCAGTGCTGTGGAACCCCATTTCCTAGACGTGGAGTTGTTTTGTGTTTAAATGAACCTCTCTTTTTAGCCACTGCCCCCTACCCTCATAGATGCCATGCCAATTGCCTCCACATAATGCACTCTGATTTCGCCACTGTGATTCATAATGGACTATTAAGCCAGTGTTGCCCCAAGAATCTTAGCCTACAGGGCAGCAATCACAAGCAAGCAGTTTGAAATGACTTACCCTGGATGAGACCAAAACTCAGGCTAAGGCCTATTGTCAAGAAACCAGTCAGAGTGGGATCAAGAATGAAGGGGCAGGCTGTGCCCCAGGCCAGGAAAACCGTTGCTTCCTGGTAATTAGGACCCAGCAAGCCCCATAGAAAAAGGTGGACTCCACTGTCTTCACCAAGCTGATGGAAATGGTGGCCTACAACCCATTTCATCAGGAGAGTGACAGTAATGCAGCCAGCATTCATCAAGCTTTCCTCCAGGTCAGGCACCACCAAGAGCTTTATGGACACTGACTCGTTTGCTCTTCACAAAGACTCGATGAAGAAAGTACTCTTATCCCCATTATACACATGAGAAACTGCATGTTAGCAAGGGTAAGCCATTTGCCCAACCTAACAGACCCGTAAGTGATGGAGCCAAGAGTCAGGCAGCCTCTCTTCAGTGCTCAATTCAGCACCCACTGAGGGGTCCTGATTGAATTTGCGTCCCTCTTATGAAGCATCTCAATGAGCACTGTTAATGTGAAGAGGGCATTGAATTAAGAGTCTGTCCTGACAGAGGGAGCTGTAAATAGTAGAAAGTGGGCTGCCTTCAGCTCTGCTTCTCTCCTTCTACGTGATCTGGACAAGAACCAAACCTCTTAGTGGCTGTATAACTACCTCACAGAATTATTACAAAGCTTATATCTCATAATATGTGTCAAAGTGCTTCAGAAACCATAACGCGGACCATATGAGCCATTAGTACTCGCTGTCATATGAAGAGCCAGTGTATGAACTCTAGTCCTGCTACCGACTGGTTAACTGAAATGTCCTAACTGGCTTTGTAAATTGATACCTCTTAACTTCAGCTTTTCAACCATAGAATGACACAATTGATACATGGCCACCTTCTCACCTGGCTCCGACCTGATTGTCCAAGTTGTTGTAAAGCCCCAGTGAGCTGTCGCCCATCGGTACCCTGAGGATGCACAGTGCACCATATGAATGGAAAGCATTTATTACAATAGTGATTGCACTAAGATGCCCTCTCCAGAGAGCTGCCAGCACTTTACAGACACAGTTCATTCATTCTCATAAGCAGACCCAGATGGACCACCCTGGGGGACCATCTGGCTGGGTAGATGTGCCAACTCAGCCTCAGAGAAATGGGGAACCTCTGGCTTACTGGGGTGGGGATGGAATCCTGTAACTCACACTTTCAACCCCCGCCCAATCTGGCACAGACTGTGTTGCCTCTAAGAGACTAGGAGTAGACTCCTTCACCCACAAATTTCCCCTTGTCCTTAGGGACCATTTCACCAGCCCACATCAAGTTAATGGGAGAGTCTTCAGGGTGACACAGCAAATCCCTACAGCCATCCCTTGCAGCCAAACCCTTACAGCAGAGGTTCTCAAGGTGCATCCCAGGACCAGCACCATCAGAATTTGCATAATTAGAAATCCAAGTTATCAGGCTGTACCTTCCATCTACCGAATGAGAAATTCTGGGGGTTTTAAGAAGCATGTTTTTGATGCATGCTAAAGTTTAAGAACCACTTTCTTGAAGTAAACCCCAGTTCCAGGTGCGAAGATCATCTGTGGCTCATGGAAGGCACTCTCTGCAGAAGTATACGGTTAGATTTATGGCAGATCGGATCTTGAATAATCATTATTCCCAGGGCCAGAGCCTGAAAGGCAATGAGGTTAAAGTACCCCCTACTCAGTTATCACCCCTTTCTTCCCCCTTGATGCCTAAGTAGCCCCTGAATCTTAGAAGTGGATCGGACCATAATTCAGTTCTTTTATAATTAATAAGATGTGAGAGGAGACAGCCTTCCCAAACTCTTTTTCTTCAGGGCCCAGAATCTGGACCTAAATCTCCTCTCCGCACTCTGAGAAAGGCGCCAAGACCTTAGCTACAGGCAGACCCCAGAGGGCAGAGCATCAGCCTCATCACTCCCTCCCCACCCACACCCTACCCCATCCAAACCAAATGATTATCTTCAGTGGTCCTGTTCAGTATTTCTCCCAAGTGCTAATGAACTTCTCCCACCTCTCATTACTAAGCAGGGAAATCTGCTCTTGACAGATAGCTCCAGATTAACTGATAACAAGAATGTGATCAGAAGCAAGCAGGCATACTTTTTGTTTAGTCTGACATCCCAGCATATTGGTGTATCTGACTAGGGAAGCTCAGGGGCAAAGACCTTACCATGTCTCGTTTATCTCTGCTGCCCCGTACAGCATGTGGAAGGTGCTCTGTAATTGTTTTGGTTGCAGTGAATCTGCCCTGGGGTCACCAGAGTGATATCAGCAGAGCCTGGGTTGAAGGAATACTGAATTCAGTGCCGGACTGTGACCCTGTGGCTGGCAGGCAGCAACCCCGAGAGGGCTGGGGTTTGCTGAGGTCACTGCCTGCATAGATGTGGATTTTACTCATGATGCAATTCAGGGAGAGCTTGAGACTGGCCTGGGGAAAGCAGGCATTGCTACCAAGGGAATATTGGCATTGGCTGTGGTGAGAACCCATTGCCATCCCTCTGTCTTCATCATCACGGACCTCTCTGCCTATCAGGAGGCAGGGGCCAAGGAGAGGAGCCCAGGTTTGGGTGGCTGAAAGACAATTCTAGAACTAAACAGTGGAGTAGTCTTTGGAAAGTTACTAGACCTTCAAAAATTGCTTCTCATCTGGAATATGGAAAGAGCAAAACCTATGTTCCAGGGTTGCTGTGAGAAGCAAGTGAGCTGTCATATACCAAGCACCTTATCACGTAAGGTCACTTTCTCTTCTCTCCAGCCCTTCTTAGGACTCACTACTTTGACATAAGGACATAGGAATCTTGGGATCCTAAAATTTGAGGAAAATAGTTTCAAAATTAGTTGTATTATGGCTTGTAGAGTGAGTTAAAAATGGAACGATCTGGCCACACAAATCTGTGCTGTTAGGCTTGTGCCCAGAAGTTGGTGGTGGCCACTTGCTGATTGGAGTGGCTTCTCAGAAGTTTGTCATGAGTCCCTCCACATGTAGACAATAACCCCAAACAGAAGCCTCCCCATTGCAGTTCCCACCCCACCCTCCAGGGTCTGGGCTCTGAGATCAACAGGCAGCTTGATCAAGAATGGAGAAGGAGAAAGAGTCCATAGCATATGACTCCATTTATCTAAAAGTCATTCTAATCTAGAGTGACAGAATGCAGACCAGTACCTGGGCCTGAGGATAGAGGGAAAGGATGGACTACAGAGGGGCGCTAGGAATTTCTTGGGGGTGATGGAGATGTTCTCTATTTTGATTATGCTGATGGTTTTACAGTGTGTATCACTGTCATGCTTCATCGATTTGTACACTTTAAGTGAATGTGCTTTATTAAACATAAAATATTCCTCAGTGAAGCTGGTAAAAAAGAAAGAGGGAAAGGTCTCAGGCCCCCCAAATAATCATGAGGCTAGTTCAGCAAATGTAGATTAGATGCTTATTCTGCCATTTTAAAAAGAAGAGCCAGGACTTAAATAGATATTTGTATACCAATGTTTATAGCAGCATTATTCATAATAGCCAAAAGATGGAAGCAACCCAAGTGTCCATCAGTAGATAAACAAATTGTGGTATATGCACACAATGTATTATTTGGATAATACAGCTGAGTGCCTTAAAAAGGAAGGAAATTCTGACACATGCTATAACATGGATGAACTCTGAGGACATTATGCTAAGTGAAGTAAGCCAGTCACAAAAGGACAAATATTGTGATTCCACTTATATAAGGTACCTACAGTAGTCAAATTCATAGAGACAGAAAGGAGAAGAGCAGCTTCCAGAGGCTTTGGGGAGGGCAGAATGGAGAGTTTGTGTCTAATGGGTACAGAGTTTCAGTTTTGCAAGATAACAAGAGTTCTGTGAATGGATGGTGGTGATGGTAACAACAGTGTGAATGTACTTAATTCCACTGAACTGTATACTTAAAAATGGTTAACATAATAAATTTTATGTTATGTGTATTTTATCACTTTTTGTGTGTGTGTGTGTGTGAGTAAGATTGACCCTGAGTTAACATCTGTTGCCAATCTTCCTCTTTTTGCTTGAGGAAGATGGCCCCTGAGCTAACATCTGTGCCAGTCTCCCTCTATTTTGTATGTGGGATGGCGCCACAGTGCGGATTGACGAGCAGTACTAGGTCTGTGCCCAGGATCCAAACCCCAGGCTGCCATAGTGGAGCGCACCAACCCAACCACCACACCACTGGGCTGGCCCCCTACCACTATTTTCTTTTAAATATTAAAAAAGAAGGAGCCACCAGATGGCTGGCTAGTAGTCATGCTGTCTGGTCAGTGTGTTCTCCACAAGCACAGAAGCCCACCTGAAAAACCAGATTCTAGCAGAAGGAGAAAACCAGGGCTTTATAGGAATGGTCAGCGTTCTTCTCCTCAGGCAGGGTCAGAGACCCCATCCTCAGAGTGTTCTAGAAGGTTCTAGAAGGTGTACTAGACTGGCAACCAAGAGATCATAATTCTAGTCCTTCTCTACCCCTTACAACCATTCTGACCTTGAACCAGCTTTCTCATCTATAAAGTAGTGTCAGTGACATGTCATAGGGTTGTTCTCCGGATCAAATGAAAAAATTTATGTTGTTGAGCTTAGAAAAATGGATAGTGCTGTGTAAATGAAGGTCTTTATTATTCTGAGTCGCTGCTCTTCAAGGGAGACAAGTGAGGTCAGGGAAGCAGATGTAGAGCAAGTCTGACCATCAGGACAAGAAATTATGAGTGAAATTATCCCACTGGTTGTACCAGAGACCCAGAAACGTGTTGCAGAGTGAATGACCAGCTCCTGGGGACTGCCTGGCCCAGTCAGCTGCCTCTGGTTCATTCATCTTCTCCGAGTTCAGAGACTCTGACAGATGGATGCAGGAATTGCTTCCTAGTTCAGTGAGTGCAATGGACACAGTGAATAGTTTACAGTTTACCCCTGAGCCAGTAAATCCAAACTCCTCTGCACTGTGTTGTGCCTGGAACACATTAAATCTGGCATAAGACAGGACATAAAATATATCGGAGTTTAGTTGATTTGTTAATTTAGCTGTCAATGGAAATCAGATGTTGAGATTCACTGCAGTGCAAAGTAGCAATTTGTGCCTCTGTCGGAAGTGCGGGTCTAAACCGTGATTTAGAAGCCTTTCCAGAGCACTGTGGGTTTCTCCAGGCTTTGGTAGCCCTGAGAACTGCCACCAGCTTGGCGGTCCAGGCATGGGTAAGATCCATCTCCCCATCCCTACAGTGGTCCTCACCGCGACAGCAGGAGGTTCTCTGGCGTGGGTCAGGGGTGTGGATGAGGTGTAAATTCCTGAAAATAAAGCAGAGACTCCATTCAAGTGGTACCTTCCCATGGATCTTTTTTTCCCCTCTAAAGATGGATGGAATCCCCGCCCTGCCTGCCTCCTGCAGTGATTTGTGAGAAACCAATGAGATGATGGATGTGAAAGTGCTTTGAAGAGTTTCATGTATAGAAACGCCGGGTGGATTTGTCTCCTTAGAGTGTAAGCATTGGTCTAGGAAGAGAGGGAGGATTGACTTGCTCGTGCTTCTTTTAGAGTAACCTTACATCCTTTATTCTAATTATAAAAGTTGTATATGCCCATTATAGATCACATAAATTCAGAAAGATATGAAAAAGGAAACTCAAAGTATTCATAATCCTCCAGCTCAGAGGTAACTTTGGTTACCAATTTGATATATTCCTTCTAGTCTTTCTTTCTGTGTGTATATGGGTTTGGTCATGCTGTTCCAATAGTCTTAGATACAGGTGGCTTTGGTTTTTGTTTTTGTTTTAAGTTCATTTGTCATGAAAATTGTCTCATGCTAGTAAAAGTTCTTCAAAAGTCTTTCTTTGTGTGATGCAGGTGTGCCGGCTATTATTAGCAGTCTCCTGTTGTTGGGCATCTCGTTTTCTTGTTTTTACTTCTGTGGTATTATAATCTGCTGTGAATATCTTTGTGTCTAAATATCTGTATATGATCTATTTCCTCAAAGGCGTTTCCTAGAAGTGGGACTTCAAGGTCTAAGGGTCTGAATAAAATTTTTAAGGATCTTGAAACATATTGCCAAACTTTTCTAGAAAATTCCACCAGTTCACATTCTCACCAGCAGCATGTAAAAGTCCCTAACTCACTACATTCTTGCTAGTGCTGCTTGTTATTTTAAAACCTTTGTTAATTTGACGCAGCCCAATTTTTAAAAACCTAACCCTTAGGTGACTTATGTGCTTCAGAGACAGCACTATTAAAAATGGCTAAATGAACATACTACTGTATTGACTACACAGATGCAGGTCCCACTTATGAGGACCCACAAAACAATTTCTGTTGGAGCTCAATATCAGGAAGAGCATTCATTTTCCTATGAACACTTTGAACCTTACAATTGATCCTGATTCTCTTTTTGCTTAGGCTGCTAGGAAGCACAGAAATGTACTTGAGCCAAATTTTATGGCTGAAATCTTATGTAGAAATCTTATGGCACATTTGTACTAAAATATTACCCTTACATCACCTTGATTTATTTATTCACATATTTTTATCATATGTAATTGCAGGCAACCTCAAATCTTTTTCTGAACAATACAGAAATAGTTACATTTTTCATCTATTATTTTCAAAGACTTAAGCTTGTTTATTCTCATCAAAGAGAGTAGCTTTGCCATCAGTAAAGTAGACTTTGTGAGAAGTTCTGACTAGTGGTCTTCACCTTCGTTTCCTTTCTGAAACTTAAACTCACAGTGATGCACACATGGGTCTCCAGCACCAGAGTATTGGTAAAATTCAAATGTGATGAACTGGTTCACTAACCCACCATGCCTACTCCTTGTCATTCCCTCCCTCCTCCTTACCCTCCACTGGTGAGAGGCCTCAGGAGTTTGACATGACTGTTGCAGACAGTAGGCTGCTTAGCCCAGAGATGTTCAGTGCCCAAGCATCTTCCTGAGGGTCTTTTCTTTGCTGAGCCTGCTTTTGATCTAAGACATTCCAGGCTGGTAGATCTGGTCCTGTTGATGACTTGGATGAGTCCTGGTATCACCATTGGTGGTGCTGGTCTTTTGCCCAGAATCTGCAATAGGCAAGGAGGCTGCTCTGCCAGCACATTGACAATGCTCCAGGGAGGTCCAGAAATGGCTCTGCTGCTGCTTCACATTCCAACATTAGGCTTCAAAGTGGCCCAAACCCCTGTGGTCTGAGCCAGCATCCTCCCTCACACCTGGCACCTGCCCTCTCCCCTTTGCTGTGCCAAGCACTTCAACAGAGAGCCACGAGGGCACCCCCTGAAGCCAGGGCCTGCAACTGTCCACTAAGAGGCAGGTGTGTGCCAAGCAGAGGAGAGAGGCTCTCGTCTGCTCAGCTCAGCCGACAAGGCAGGCTAGTGGCTGCCAATCTGAGCTCAGAATGGAGCTTCCTGCCCATTCTCCTTGGTGGGATGGAATCCCAGGTGGGAGGACTGGAGAGCGGAATGTTACAGGCCAGACTCTCTCTGACTGCTTTCCTAAATGCTGCCTAATCCTAACAATCACCCTGCAAAAGAAAAAGATGGAAGAAGAGACTGAGACTCAGAGAGGTTGGACATATCCAAGGTCACACAACTAGTAAGTGGCTGAGCTGGGCTTGAACTTGGTCTACTAACTCCAGAGACTTTGACCCCTCCTCACCGTGCTCTGAGCAGTGGCGGGAGGGAGTGGCTGTGGCTGGGAAGGCTGTGACTCCCTGGGAGAAGCCCCCTGTGTCATCTCCACCATGTCACTCACCACAGGGGGAGCAGGACCAAAGCAGTGATGCAGCTGCCTGCCTCTCACCAGACACCATGACACTTCCATGCTAGCTCTACAACTGTTGGCATGAGTGCAGCTGATGTGGAGGAAGAGATGGACCCTTGGAGCAGAGGGAGAGAGAAGGCAGCCCTCCAGCTTTAGGCAAGTCTTGGCTTCACTAAGAATCCACGACACATAAACTCTTATGGTGACTGCAGGTTAGGGAGGGCCTGTGGAGCCTCAAGGACCATCCATCATGACAAGGAGCTGGTAGAGGGCAGCAGGGAGGAGCTTGTGATGGGGAGCTGAGTTAACACGGCCCATGGCCAGCTGGGTCACCAAGGCTGTGTCTCCACACCTTGCCCTTCTGCAGCCAACGGGTCCATCCCCACACGGTACCCTCATGCCAGCTCCTCCTGGAGCCCTGCTCCCCCAGAATGCTCCCTCACCTCAGGACAATCTTGGTCACACTACTCGGAGCCACAGTCGCAGTCCTCCTGGTACTCCCCAATGTGGCCCTGCCTCCTGGGCCTCCCTGATACCACAGCAGCTACCCTACGAGGCCCTGGAGGACCTGCAAGACGAAGGAACGGGGCAGCTCCTCTCATCTGCCTTTGCAGATAAAGGTCCACCATTGCCCAGACGTTTAAACCTCAGTGCCGCCTTGTACTTCTTCCCCCACCATCCCATAGTCTTATCCTGACAATTCTACCTTTGAGATAGCTCTCCCCAACCCCCTCCTCTCCACCCCATAGCCCTGTCCTGACCCTGGCCTCCCTGGACTCCTGCGATGGCCCTCTGGCCACCAGCATCTCTGACCCCCTCCCCTCCCCACCCCATGCCTTTCTCCACACCCTTCTAGGACATGATCCTAGTTCTGTCCCCTGCTCTTGTCCCATGCTTTCTGAAAGTATTTTAGATATTCTTTGTCACCTATGGGCTTGCAGTCCACAGTCCTCCCTCTTATTTATTCTTGAGGCTTCTAAAATGGCCTTTTATACCCTAGTGGGTCTAGCATATTGATTAAGAGCATGGGCTTCAGAGTCGGGCAGACCTATTCAAATCCTGGCTCTGCTGATACTCTGTGACCTCAGGAATGGCTTTACAGATCCTTGGATCCCAGTTTCCTTCTCAGTAAAATGGAGATAACAACTACCTCATGTAGTTGCTGTACAGTCTAAATAAGATAATACATATAAAGCCTAAAGTCTGAACTCTTCGCTGAGTCATTTGCGGCTTTTGTGAACTGCTTCCTGCTTGTTTTTCCAGCTTGCCTCCTGCCCCTGCTCGTACTGGGGCTCACTCAGGCAATTTGCTATTCCCTGAGCATGCCATCCTTTTCCTGGGGCTACCTTGTCCTTTCTCGCTGTTGGATCAACTATTGCCCATTCTTTGAGCACAACTCAAGTGTTACCTCTTTTCTAGAGCCTTCCTTTGCCCTATAGTCAGACACTCCTCTTTTGTGTGCCTATCCTTCATACATTCCCGTTATCTATTTCTCAGTAACAAATACTTCAGGGTGTAGCTGCTTAAAACAACAACTATTATATTTTGTCAGACAAGAATTTGGGCTGAGCTCAGCTAGGTAATCTTTTTGTACCACGTGACATTGATGGAGGTCATACAGTGGCATTTAGCTGACAGATCAAAGGGTGTGCAGGGTC